GGGCGTGGGGGAGGGGAGCTCCGGGGGGAAGAGTCCTAACGATGAGGAGCCGTCCAGGAGGAACTCCAGAGACGCTACCTGGAGGACAACAGGGGGGGGAGGGGCGACAGCTGAGATTGGACCGGTTCTGGACTTCCTCCAGAACCTGACAGATTCTGACACTTCCCACTTCTCTGCCTGCTGGGATTCCTCATGCACAGACCCAAGTCCTCGGTTCTGGAGCAGCTGGGTCCACTAAGGAGAACATCCTGGTTCTGGACCGGGTTCTGGACCAGGGGGAGACAGTCTGGGAATGTTTCAGGAACCTCTGAGGTTCTGGGTCCTGAACACGGCCAGAACAGGAGGTCCAATTTGTGCCAAGGACATGATGAACCCAGCATGGAGGCTTCAGCTAGTGCATGGGTCCACTGGGGGGCGCCAGAGGACGAGCTGGTGAGCAGAACCAGGATGAGAACCAGGACCTGGTTTGGGTCTGTGCACAGAAACCTCAGAAGAAGAAAGCGGGTCGCCATCAGGAGGAACAGGAAGTTCAGAAACAGAAACCACAGAAGAAGAGTGAGACAGATGGAGGGACAGAGAGCAGCTGACAGAGACTCTGACCGGACCGGACCGGACCACTGAGCAATGAAGTTCTGAAACGGGTCACATCATAAGAACAGCAGCATGCTGGTGGTTCTGGTCCGATCCAGAGGATGGACCGGTACCAGCCAGGTTGGTTTTTAATGATGTGACGATGCAGACGGGACCGGAGACACTGAGCAGACGAGACATGGATCAGAACCCAAGACAGCAAACAGAACCATCGGAACCGTCTCAGCTGGGTCTCATTCTGAGTCCGATCAAACAGAACAAACCCAGACGGATCAGAGCTTCAGAACCAGAAACACATCGGGGTCCAGCAGAACCAGCCATCAGAACCGGACCACCCTTCAGTGAAGAACCGGCTACTGAGAGAAGACAGAAGCTTCTCCAGGACAGCCTGTCCAACTCCCGTCCTCAGAGACAGACGTCCTGCATGTGTCCAACAGGGGCGGGACCTGACGGACCTCCAGCTGGTTCTGCTTCCTACCGACCCGACCACTGGGTCCAGATGTTCTGATCCGGGAGCAGATCTAAAACATGCAGGACACCGCTGCTCTGGGGACACAGACTGATGTTTTAGCAATGCTAACCATGCTAACAAATAATGCTAACTATGCTAGTAGCTAATGCTAACTATGCTAGTAGCTAATGCTAACACTGACAAATATATGTTGCCTGTCATTCTAGTAGCTGCGAACCATGGCTAATATCTACTGCTAACCATGCTAATAGATAATGCTAACCATGCTAATACCTGTTGATATTTAAAGTTTTCACCTTTAGTGGATTCTGATAATTTGCAGAAAAGATGCATCTGCAAAAACCTTCCGTCAACATGTGAAAAGGGTTCAATAGTTATTATTGTTATTATTATCATTTCAGAATTGGATGAATTGGGTCGAATAGAGTTACAGTAAACTGTTCACTGGTTTCATCATGTTTAATTACTGAGCAGAAGTTTGGAGCAAAACTTAAAAAAGGAAAGCAAAAAAATCATTAAAAATACTATAAAAAGGGCCATGAGGATAATTAATAACAGCTACAAAGGTCATACAAATTCACCATTTTTAAAATAAAAATGATTATAATTTCCTGACCTGGTTAAGTTTCAAACATCACTAAACGAGCTCCTGCCTGAGAATATCCAGGTTTTTCAATAGAGAGGAAAAAAATCTAAATCGTCTTCATGTCCTTTAAAACGTTTGGAGGGAAACTGTGGGATCTTTGATTACTAAGCCATTAGACAGTTATTTCAATCATCAACTCATGTGATGAATCCACTCAGCCGGGCGGAACCAGGGTCCAACCGGACCAGATGAAACCAGAACATGGAGGTTCGCTTTCCTCTGAGTCACCACTGGGGGGCAGCACCGCGCCGTCCTGACCCTGAACAGGAAGTGACCCTGAGTCCGGTCTAAACTCCCCAGACTGAAACATGAAGCAGCAGAACATTATGACCAGGTCAGAGGTCAGAGCTGCAGTATTCCAGCTTCCCAGCAGGAAGAAACGACTCGACTCACCAGATCCTAAAGATGAACCGTTTTCTGATGCCTGCTCTGGTTTCTATAGGTATATTTCACTCCAGTGGGTGTTTCATTTACAGATATTAAACCAGAGTGACTCTGGCGTTGCCATGACAACCAAACATTACAGACATCCAGAGTAGGATGAATGAGCATCCAACCAGAACCCACCAGAACCGGTCCCAGCTGGTGGCCATGAGGTACTACTACTTCATCATCTTCCTCCAGCGCTAGCAGCTAGCTCGCTAACATCTGCTCCAGGTGAGAGCAGGACACATGCTACTGGCCAGACGCATTATGGGTAGGAAGGATCCATGAAGTCATTAATTTGAGTCTGTGATGATGATGATGATGATTATGATGATGATGATGATGAAGAGCAGCATGGACCATAATATTAAAATCATCCTGAGTTTATCCAGAGGTCATAACCCCCCAGTGGACATCAGGTGATACTGCAGCTCCTGCAGGACGCGACACGCTGAGGTAAAAACCATGACCTGGATTACACCTGGATGACCTGGATTACACCTGGACTACACCTGGATGACCTGGATTACACCTGGATGACCTGGACTACACCTGGATGACCTGGACTACACCTGGATGACCTGGATTACACCTGGATGACCTGGACTACACCTGGATGACCTGGATTACCTGGACTACACCTGGATGACCTGGACTACACCTGGATGACCTGGACTACACCTGGACTACACCTGGATGACCTGGATTACACCTGGATGACCTGGACTACACCTGGATGACCTGGACTACAGCTGGATGACCTGGATTACACCTGGATGACCTGGATTACACCTGGATGACCTGGATTACACCTGGATGACCTGGACTACACCTGGATGACCTCAGAGCAGCTTCAGAGCCTGATGAATCACATGAAGGCAGCAGAGACAGAAACATCCTCCATCCTCCCTCTGATTGGCTGATGGCTAAGCCCTCAGCTGCAGCCAGGAGGTCAGAGGTCACAGGAGGCCATCCTGACTGGAGGAGCTCCAGCTGATGTGGGTTGGGGGCAACAGGAACATGAACAGGTAAACACATCCAGCATGATCAACAGATGGACAGAGAGACAGGAAGAGGAGAAACTCCAGATCTGAACCACCAGTCCTCAGGGTTAACTGGATCCGGATCCAGACTGGATCTGAGTCCAGATCCAGTCTGAACTGCATCTCAGAGTGCTGCTGCCCTGTAGACCTGAGGATCAGATCCAGATCAGGATCTGGATCCGGATCAGCTGTAGCACGGAGGAAGTGTTAGGCTCCGCCCCCTACCTTCATAGGTGAGATGTGGGCGTGGGTGACGTATCCGTGGACGTTCTCGATCTGGTTCAGGTTCTTCTCGGCGACCTGGACCAGCTCTGGCCCCGCCCCCTCCTCCATGAGGGGGGGGGAGCTCTGGTCCTGGGGGGACGAGTCCTCATCGTGGTGCCGGTACTTCTGGGGAGGACAAGAAGGAAAGCGGGTCAGTGAGCCCCGAGTTCTGACTGACAGGCTTCCGCAGAACCTGCAGCAACCAGAACCCGGCCGAGATCAAGATGAACTGAGCCCAAAATGCTAGGTTCTGACCCGTTTCAGGACCAAAAGATGGGATGAATGGAAGCATGAGGAGAAAATCCAGAACCATTTAACCTGAATGGTTCTGATCCGGATCGGTTCTCTACAGAATCGATCCATTTAAAGTTTGTAGAGTCATTCAATCAGGAGGCACCGGTCCGACCCGGAGAACGGTCAGGGGAATGTCTCAGATGTTCTAACTCTGGCTGGTTCTGACAGAACCCAACAGAACCAACAGAACCGGGAACACGGTGACGGGCTGAACCAGCATCCATCAGACTGGTTAAACTGGACCAGTTATTGATTTATGATCGATATCTTTATAGATCAATAATCCTCAGAGGGAGATGAAGCAGCTGGAGCATCAGGAACCTGAAACATTCAGTTTAAATGAGATTTAAGAGAAAAATAATTTAGATTTTTGCTCCTAAACGATTCTCTCCTAAAATAACCAAATGATCCAGAGAAGAAGTTAAAAACGAGCTGATGCAGGTCAAAGGTCCAAAGCTCCTGGATTGGTTGCCATGCAACCAACAGCCAATGGTGTGTCTAGCAGCAGACTTCCCAACATGCATTTCCTTAAAACATTTCAGGATATTTTCACATCTGGTTTGCTTTAACAGGACAGTTTGTTTCCCAGTCGGTCCAGATTTGGACCAGACTGACCAGAACAGAACTACAGACAGCAGGATCATCTGGGTTTACTTCCTGGTTCTGGTTCCGCCCCGCCTCCATCGATTCTGTCATCAAACATCATTTCTGAGTGAAGATCTTTGTTTACAGATTATCGACCCAATATGAGAGCAAACCACCAAATACAGAAATGAAAGTCTGGTTCTGGTCCGACAGACTTTCCTGCTGTCAACAAATCCTGAAGTTACAGAACAGAAACCCCGACAGTCAGCAGGTCAGTGAACGCCTCACAGAAACCCCGACAGTCAGCAGGTCAGTGAACGCCTCACAGAAACCCTGACAGTCAGTGAAAGCAGCGCAGGGAGAACCGGGTTCTCAGTGGAACCAGAGCAGAACTAATGGAGGAGTGGCAGATCCACGGCTCTCACACACCTCCTCTTCCTCCCCCCCCTCTTCCTCCTCTCTGAGCTGTGAGGAAGAGGAGGGGGAGGGGTCCCGGCCGTCTCGCTGCTATAAATAGGAGCAGCAGAGAAACAAGGAAGATGAAGCAGACCGGACCAGAACCAGCAGAGCCCTCTGGTATCTGGGTTCAGTTCTGCTGCTCTGAGCCGGAGCAGAACCTCCATGTTGGTACCAACCAGAACCAGCAGAACTCCACATCCCAGACAAGGTTCTGGTTCTGCTCTCAGTGAAACAAAGCCCAGAACCTGGTTGACAAGCAGCCAATCAGAACCCTGGTTCTGGACTTTGACTAGGCCACTGCAGAACTGCAGCTCTGGTTCTTCTCTTTTCTAGTCAGTCTGTTCTGGATCTGCTGTTGTGTTTGGACCCTGGTTCTGCTGATGACCCGGTGTGGACCCAGCTTCAGCTGGACTCATCCTGGATCTTTGGTCTACAGGTGGAACCCAAACATCCCGGCCCACAGCATGACCCCTCCACCACTGTGCTGGACAGTCAGGGAACTTCAGCTGAACTGGGTTCTGGTTCTGTCTGGCATGGTCCCATCGGTCCCAGAGTCTGGAGCTTCATCCAGCCTGGCGGCCATCTTGTTTGTAGAGAACAGGTTTTGTCCTTCAACCCTTCCAGGCAGCCATGCTGGCTCAGAATCCTGACCTTTGACCCCTGGCAGTAGGAGATGGAGCTCAGGTCTCTGCCCTGCAGCGTGGAGCGCCCGCCCCAGTCGATCCGGCCGATCAATCGGGTTAATTAAGAGGAAGAGGAGCGGAGCCTTCATCACCGATCTGCAGAGTCATCGGGTCGGTTCTGCTGCAGAACAGAACCAGGTCCAACCAGGTGCTCAGGTTGAGAGAGGTTCACTGCCCCTCTGATAAACACAGGATTTACCATTTTATTCCTTGGTGACCTCTGACCTCTTGAAGAAGTTTTAAAGGTCACCTGTTTCCTTTCAACAGGTTAGCATAGATCTATGGGCTACAGAATGTGTTCATTACATCTTTTGTACAAAATAATTCTCAGTTAATCAGATTTTTTCCTGCTCAGTTCTGATTGTTGATCTTTCAGAATGACGTTTTAGAGTCTCTGTCTCTTTAAATCCAAATGAGCTTCTGCTGCTGGCCACGCCTCCCAACTCAATGTTTACACTCACGTGAAAATGGCTGCAAACAGATGTGCAACGATGCAACTGTGCATCTTTGAAAAGCAGAATTGGAGCCTCCTACACAACCAACCAGAATGCAGCAAGTGGTTTCTGGATGGTAAGTCAACAACAGAGCTCCTGTCTTTTCCAGCAGCCATTGTAAAGCACGTACAGCTCTGCTGTTGCTAGGTGACGGGCTGGGCTTCACTGAAACGGCCGATGTTCTTCAGAACTTGTCAGGTTGCTTATTGTCTCAATCTGGAACAGAAACTAAAACCACTAAACACGCCGAGGGCTGCAGATCAGCTGTTATGGTATCGATTTGTTTAGATGACGATACGATATGTTGATATCACAATACAAATTTATTTAAGTTTAATTCATTAATCTGATCAATATGATGAAATATCAACTCACATTAAAACAAAAGGATGTAACTTTACCGATTTACAGGAATGAAATGAAAAGTTAAAAATTTCAAACTAAAGATATGATCTGGATATTTACATTTTGTATGAATGTAATCGGGTCGTTGATCATTTAATCCATGGATCTATTGATCCTCACCTACAGCTGACCTGAGGTCACCAGGTCATCCAATCTCCAACACAACCAGAAGATCATCCTGATTATTTCATGTTTTTTATTTTCTCCCTGAGAGTCAGATCGTTCACAAAGCATCATGGGTAATTGGCGTCAGGAAGCTCCTCCAGGACTCTGTTGTTGTTTCCTGTGGAGCACATGGACCTCACACATGCACCGCCACGCCTGCCGCCGTTGGCCAATCACAACTCGGCCCTGCAACTCAGCCGGCCTCCGATTGGTCAGCTCACAGAGGGAGAAGCAACAGGCAGCTCCAGCAGCCAATCAGGAGACGGCAGGTCTAGTGGCTATAATACGAGGTTTTAATCCCTGAGCTGGGTCTGACAGGTGCAGGACAGGAAGCAGGTCGGGAATCTGCAGGATGTTCCGGGTCGGAGGTTCCGCTGAAGCCCGGAACACCACGGCACCGCCGCTCCGTTACATAACCACAGCAGAACCGGGTCAGAACATGCTGTTCTGAAGGAGGAGCGTCTCCAGAAAACCAGCATCAACCCCGGCTCGGGTCAAAGGTCACCGGCCCAGTTAAGGTCCAGTTCACTGACCTTAGAATGTGGATTTATTCCAGCTGTTCCCAAAACCAACCGACTGGCTGGAGGACGTTCCCCTGCAGATCTGTCAGAACCGGGCCCTGGTCCAGAACCACCAGCAGAACCGGTCCGATTCTGGCTCTGGATGTCCTCCAAGCAGAGCGGACCACCACAAGGTCCGACTGACAGAACAGAACCCAAACGGACCGCAGCTGGATGCCCGGTCCAGATCCAGGAACAACAGAACCAGAACCTTTACTGGACCAGTGGAATGATCCTGGAGTCTGAGGAGTGCAAAATTCTCCAGAACCGGACCTGCTGGGCCCTCTGGACTGAGACCCGGCTTATAACTGTGATGCATCAACAGAACCAGGACAGAACCAAAACTGACTGTGGCCCGGACCCAAACCGCACCACGCGGACCCAGAACCAGAACCAAATGGGATTCCGGCCCAGAATCAGACTGGACCAGAACCAAACGGGATTCTGACCTGGAATAAAACAGGACGCGGATCCAGAACGAAGCAGGACTCTAACCTGGACCCAAACCCAACTATGACCTGAAGCCAAACAGGACTCTGATCCAGAACCAACCATGACCCGGCCCGCGTCCTGACCCACCTTGCAGCCGAACATGAGGGAGATGGTGCTGCTGCTGCAGGCCACCTTGCAGTGGCAGAGCATCGGGGAGAAGCATTCCCCCCTGCCGGATCCGGGGGACTCGGCGCCGGGACACCGGGCCGCCAGCCGGCTCCTCCGGGAGCGCCGCCGGCTCCTCGCGCGCCGCCGCCCGCTGCCATTGCTGCTGCCGCCGGCCGAGCTGCCCCCGCCTCCTCTTCCTCCTGCCTCTCCTCCTCCTCCTCCTCCTCCGCTGCTGCTGCTGCTGCTGCTGCTCCCTGCTCTCACCATCCGCCCTCATTCCTGGCGTCGCTCCATGGCGGCGGGGAGGAAACGACCCCCAGAGCTCTTCCTGCATCCAGGGAGAACCCCCCCAGGATGAGCGGCGTGTTCTCTGCTCTCAGGCTGCGGCTCGGCTCCCTCCGTCTCCGTCCTCCTCTCTGAGCGATGAAGAGCGCTCCGGCGTCTGCGTGAAGCTCCGCTCTGTGGGGGCGTGAGCGGGGGGGGCGGGGGCGACAGAGGCTGGTCACATGACGCATCGGAAACGAGGCGCGCGGGGGGGGGGGTGTCCTGAGGCAAGGTAGAGCGATGTAGGACAGAGGAAGAGGAGGAGAGGAAGAAACAACGATGAAGAGGAGGGATGAAGGCTGGAGGTGAGGAAGAGGAGGAACTCAGGAACTTTTGTCTCTTGGTGTTCGGTCCGGTCCACTGAAGAGACGGATTCTAGAGGTTCCAGAACCTCACCAACGGTTCTGATTTCCTGCCAAGTTCTGACCCGGCAACGCTACAGGAAGTGAGCCTCCGGTTCTGTTGGACTGATCAACTGGGCCGGGTTCTGAGCTCCTCCAGGTTCTGGATGAATTCAATTCGAGGTGTTTTTCTGTTTCTCTGTCAGATCAGAACCG